GTAGCTGGGACTACAGGCGTGCTCCACCACGCCCAGCTAATTTTTGTAGTTTTTTTTAGTAGAGACAGGGTTTCACCATGTTGGCCAGGATGGTCTCAATCTCTCGACCTCATGATCTACCTGCCTCGGCCTCCCAAAGTGCTGGGATTATAGGCTTGAGTCACCACACCCAGCTGACACAGGCCCACTTCTCTAGTTTGTAGTGTGTGTGTTTTTTTTTATTGTGATAAAACCACATAAAATTTACCATCTTAACTATTTTAAAATGTATAATTCAGTAAAGTATATTCATATTGCTGTGAAACAGACCTCCAGGATGTTTTTATCTTGCCAGACTATTAACTATATACCCATTAAATGACAACTCTCCCCCTTTTATGGAAAAGCGTTTATGAAATAACATGAGGTTAAAAAAGTAGATCCCCAAACTATGTATTATAATGACAACTGCTTAAAACTATATACACATTGGGTAAATGTTCTAAATGGTGAACTAAAAACAATTATATTAGAATAGTAGGATTAAGAGGGAATTATCTTAAATTTTCTTAATGTTTACCCCATTTCTCTAGCCCTTGGTAACCACCATTTTTCTTTCTATGAGTTTGACTACTTTAAATGTCTCATATAAGTGGAATCATACAGTATTTATCTTTTTCTGATGGCTTATTTCACTTAGCATAATGTCCTCAAGGTTCATCCATGTTGTAGAATGTGACAGGATTTCTTTCCTTTTTAAGCCAGAATACGATTCCATTTTATGTATATACCACATTTGCTTTAACCATTCATCTGATGATGGGCATTTAGGGTGCTTCCATCTTTTGCCTATTGTGAACAGTGCTGCTATGAACATAAGTGTGCAAGTATCTCTTTAAGACTTTGCTTTTAATTCTTTTGCATATAAACCAGAGGTGGGATTGCTGGGTCACACAGCAGTTCTATTTTTTATTTTTGTTTAGGAACTTCCATACTGTTTTCCACAGCAGCCACACCATTTTACAATCCAAACTACAATACACAAGAGCTCCAATTTCTCCAAAGCCTTATCAATGCTTGTCATTAACCTCAGGTGATCCACCCATCTCAGCTTCCCAAAGTGCTGAAATTACAGGCTGGACCCACCTCATCTGGCCTCTTCTAGCTATTCTGAAATGTTTAGTAAATTATTGTGAATTAGTCACCCTACTGATCTGTTGAACACGAGGTCTTATTCCTTCTATCTAACTGTATATTTGTTCCCATTAATCAATCTCTCTTCACCCCCTACCCCTTCCTGGCCTCTGGTAATTGGCAATGCATTCTCTATTTTCATAACATCCACTGTTTTAGCTCCCACATATGGATGAAAACATGCAATATTTGTCTTTCTGTATTTGGCTTATCTCACTTAACATAAGGACCTCCAGTTCATGTTGCTGCAAATGATAAGATTTCATTCTCTTTTTAATGGTTGAATAATATTCCATTGTGTATATATACCACATCTTCTTTATCCATTCATCTATCTGGAACAGACAAGGATGCCCACTTTTTCCACTTTAATTCAACATAATACTGGAAGTCCTGGCCAGAGAAATTAGGCAAGCAAAAGAAATAAAGGGCAACCAAATTGGAAAGGAAGAAGTCAAATTAGCCTCGTTCACAGACAATATGATTTTTTTTTTTTTTTTTTTTGAGACAGGGTCTCACTCTGTCACCTAGGCTACAGTGCAGTGGTGGGAAAGTGATCTTGGCTCACTGCAACCTCTGCATCCTGGGTTCAAGTGATTCTCCCACCTCAGCCTCCTGAGTAGCTGGGACTACAGGCATATACCACCACGCCCAGCTAAATTTTGTATTTTTAGTAGAGACAGGGTTTCGCCCTGTTGGCCAGGCTGGTCTCGAACTCCTGGCCTCAAGATCTGCCCACCTGGACCCCCCAAAGTGCTGGGATTACAGGCATGAGCCATTGCACCTGGGCAACAATATGATCTTATACTTAGAAAAACCTAAAGACTCCACCAAAAGACTGTTAGAGCTGATAAATTTAGTAAAATTGCAGGATACAAAATCAACACACAAAAATCAGTAGCATTTAAATATGACAACAGTGGACAATCTGAAAAAGAAATCAAGAAAGCAATTCCATTTACAATAGCTACAAAGAATATAAGATATCTAGAAATCAATTTAATCAGAGAAGTGAAATACCTATACAAGGAAAACTGTAAAACACTCATAAAAGAAATTAAAGAGAACATTAAAAAAATGGGAAGATATTCAATGCTGATAGGTCCCAATAATTAATATTGTTAAAATGACAATTCTACACAAAGCAATTTACAGATTCAATGCAATCCCAATCAAGATACTTATGACATTCTTCAAAGAAACAGAAAACAAAATCCTGGAATTTTTTTTTTTTTTTTTTTTGAGACAGGTTCTCACTCTGTCACCCAGTCTGGGGTATGGCATAATGACAGCTTACTGCAGCCTCAAACTCGTGGGCTTAAGCAATCCACCAGCTGCAGCCCCCTGAGTAGTTGGGACTTCAGATGCATGACCACAATACTTGATTAATTTTTTTTTTTTTTTTTTTTTGAGACAGAGTCTTGCTCTGTTGCCCAGGTTGGTGCAGTGGTGCGATCTTGGCTCACTGCAACCTCCGTCTTCCAGGTTTAAGTGATTCTCCAGCCTCAGCCTCAGCCTCTCGAGTAGATGGGATTACAAGCACATGCCACCAGGCCTGGCTAATTTATATATATATGTATTTTAGTAGAGACTGGGTTTCACCATGTTGGCCAGGCTGGTCTCATACTCCTGACCTCAGGTGATTTACGTACCTTGGCCTCCCAAAATTCTGAGATTATAGGCGTGAGCCACAGTGCCTGGCTAATTTTTATATTTTTTGTAGAGACAGGTTTTATCCATATTGCCCAGGCTGGTCTTAAACTTCTGGGCTCAAGCAATCCTTCAATCTAGACTTCCCAAAATGCTGGGATTACAAGTGTGAGCCACTGTGCCTGGCCCCTAAAATTTTTACAGAACCACAAAAGATCCAGAATAGCCAAAGCAATCCTGAGCAAATTGAACAAAGCTGAAGCCAGGTGCGGTGGCTCACACTTGTAATCCCAGCACATTGGCAGGCAGAGGTGGGCGGATCACTTTAAGTGAGGAGTTCAAGACCAGCATGGCCAACATGGCAAAACTGTCTCTACTAAAAACACAAAAATTAGTTGGATGTGATGGTGGGCACCTGCAATCCCAGCTACTCAAGAGGCTAAGCCAGGAGAATTGCTTGAACCTGGGAGGCAGAGGCTGCAGTAAGCCAAGATCACGCCACTGCACTCTAGTCTGAGCAATAGAACAAAAGTCCATCTCAGAAAAAAAAAAGCTGGAGGCATCATACTACCTGACTGCAAAACATATGGTAACCAAATCAGCATGGTGCTGGAAAAACTGGAAAACTATTTACAAAAGAATGAAATTAGACTCTTATTTACTGTATACAAAAATCAAATCAAAATGGACTAAAGACTTAAACCTAAGACCTGAAATTATGAAACTACTAGAAGAAAACATTGAGGGAAATGCTCCAGGACACTGGAGTATTTTTATTTGTCTAGTTTGTTATTTGTCTAAAGATTTCAAAAGCACAGGCAACCAAAGCAAAAATAGAATATGGGATTACATCAAGCTAACAAGCTCCTGTATAGCAATGAAACAATCAACAAAGTGAAGAGACAACCCACAGAATGGAAGAAAATATTTGCAAACTACCCATTTGACAAGGGATTAGTAACTGGAATATATTAAGGAGCTCAAATAACTCAATAGCAAAAAAAAAAAAAAATCAAGATTAAAAAATTGCAAGGTTGGGGCAGTGGCTCACTTCTGTAATCCCAGAACTGTAGGAGGCCAAGGAATTTGATACCACCCTGGGCTAAGGCAGGAGGACCACCCGAACCCAGGGAGATTAAAGCTGTAGTGAGCCATGCTCTCACCACTGCACTCCAGATTGGGCAACAAGACCCTTGACTCAGAAAAAAAAAAAAAAGCCAAAACATCTGAGTAGATATTTCTCAAAAGAAGATGTACAAATGACTAACAGGTATATATCAAAGAGATAACTGCACTTCCATGTCTACTGCAGCTCTATTCATGACAGCCATAACATGGAATCAACATTTCCAGGTTGGTTTTTTTTTAGACGGAGTCTCACTCTGTCGCCAGCATGGAGTGCAGTGGCGTGATCTCAGCTCACTGCAACCTCTGCCACCTGGGTTCAAGTCATTCTCCTGTCTCAGCCTCCTGAGTAGCTGGGACTACAGGTATGCACCACCATGCCCAGCTAATTTCTGTATTTTTAGTAGAGACAGGGTTTCACCATGTTGGCCAAGATGGTCTGGATTTCTTGAACTCGTGATCTGCCCACCTCCGCCTCCCAAAGTGCTGAGATTACAGGCATGAACCATGGCTCCCAGTGCCCAGGTTTTTTTTAATGGTAGCACAGGCCAATTTTTAAAAAGCCATTTATGAAGGTTGGCATGGCCTTACCTAAATTTAACTTAAATATAAAGGCCTTCAAGAAAACTGCCTTCAATCCTTACTGAAACTTTATATTAATCCTAAAACTTCAGCATCATTTTGATACAACTTTATCTTCTTTGCTCAAAGTTTATAAATTTGTTCAAAGTTCCTAGCAAGTAAAATGCATAATAGCATAGTAAAAGCAGCACAGCAAGTGGAAAAGTTTAAAATTATGTTTTCATATTTTGTTTGAAATGCCACCCATGTGTATATCTCCCAGAAAAAGCAATAATATGACTACTGAAAGGCCCAATTATAGGGTGAATACAAATTTCATTAACTTTGGTCCCACTACACTCGAAGAACTGGGAATTTTACCAAATGGAACAAGTGGGCTGGCATCAGGAGAGGCTAAGGGCTCTCAGAAGCAATGACATGAGAAGGAGGAAAAGTGACTAAAGCAGGAGCTACAGCACACAGTTGGTTACCTTGCTCTTCCAGAAGGACTCGCACAGCTGAGTTTTCCTTTACTTTTTTTCTGGCGGCTGCTTCTTCTTCGTTAGACCACTCCATATGATCCCTATTAAAAAATAAAAAGATTGTAAAATATGCTTTATCATTGAAAAAGGCAGAAAAAAGGTAACAAGGAACCAAATCTTTCATTCTAGATTAGCTGAAGACAAATTATACTGACTAATTCCACATGGAATGAATACATTTTGTGTCAGATGTTCCTACTCATGGCGCTGGTACAACCATGGAACTCCTACGATTCTTCTGTTTAAATCTAGTTGTGCTGCAAGCCCCAGCTACCTCTGGGAAATGGCTGCTAAAGTAATGTCCTCAGGACACCCTGGTGTATGACTATTTGGGTGCTGGTATGGTTCGCTGTTTTTTACTCTAAGGCTAAATTTATTTGCCTTTTTGTTAATTTATGAACAAAACATTCTTCAGTAGGTTTTAAATGCTCCTCTTACAACACTTGTATTCTAACACTTTGCTGTCAAAGAGATGAAAGTTTTAAAATGTTTTGTACTTAGCCTGCAATTTTTAAAGTAACTTTAGATTTATTTTTCTTATTAGCTACTTTAATTTCTGTAAAAGGACTCATTTACATTTAAGTGATATAGTACCTGATATAGCATGTGAAAAGGTCACTTTTCTAAGTTCTGGAACTTTCTATAAGTATTTTTAGTTTCAGAGTCTACTCTCCCTGTGTGAGAAGATATTATTTTCTGCTGCAAAAATTGTCTGTCTTGGAATAGAAGCAACAACTGTATAGAAGAAAGGTAGTTATTTTTAAGTTTTGTTTTCACAAAGTTTGCATTTTTTTTTTTTGCAATAGGTTAGACTATAAGTAAGTAAAGCAATTTCTGGGAATAAACCAGGAGTAAATTTTTATTGCTAAACAATAAAAAATTACACACTCCATATTCAAGTTGCATATAGCATAAAAGAAAAACCCCTAACACCCCTTATATTATGGGTGGAAAGGGATAAATTATACAATTCTTGGAAGTGCATCATGTTGTGACTGACAAACATTGGGCAGTTAGGATGATCATAATTATTATAATAATTACCATCATTTATTTGTTACATATCAAGTATTGTGATAAGCACATTACATATATATGTTTTATTTAATACTTTCAAAAACCCTTTGACAGGGTTATAATCATGCTCACATTGCACAGTGGCTAACAGAAATTTAATAACTTATTCAAGACATATAGCCAGGAAGTGGCAGAATCGGAATTCATCTAGATTTGTGTTACTTTAAAGTCCATCTTCTCAACTATTAGTCTACTATTTTCTACCATGGCAGTGGGGGATACACAGAGATTTAAAATGTAACATTTGCCTATCTTGGGTTTATATTCTCCTAATGCAGGCAAGTAAACAATAAGTAAATGATAATACAGTGCAGCATGCATGGCTAGCACCTGATGAAGGGGAGTGTAGCCAATTAATGCTAGCTGGGGCAAATAGGAAGGCATAAGAGGTTTGGGCTCAGGTTAGGAGGAAAAGTGGTGGGGAAAATTAATGTCACTCAGAAGCTGACAATAAAGACAGTGCATACAGGGAATAGTTAAAAAGCTCCATTTTGACTGGTTCTCTTGCACTACTGAAATGAAGTTGGGAGCTGGGTAAGGTCAGATTTCAGAGGATCTTAAATGTGGGGCTGAACAGTTAAGTATTTAAGTAGTGTGCGACACACAATGAAGTGGGGAGGGACTGGAGGAAAGGCGACCAATTAGACTGTTGGAATGGTCTAGGAATAATGAGTCCCAGGACCAAAGTGGTGCCAATGGAGAACAGGAAGGAAGGGTGGAGAGGGAGACACTGAAAACACTGTAATTAAGACCTAGAGATTAAATAGATATTGGAGGAGAAGCAGTGTAAGAGTCATGAATGATTCCAAGGTCTTAAAACTAAGTATCTAGGAACGTGTGGGAAATGATAACAGAATATGGAGTTGCATTGGGTGGAATGATGATAAGCTTCATACTATTTTAAGTAATGCTTATACAATCAGATATAAGAGGGTTTATTCCAGTGATCTGGCTATAAATACACCACTGAAGGTGAGAAGCTGTTTTCTTAAAAAACAAACAAACAAAAAAACAGGATGCTGCAGTATCCAGGAAAAGTGAATGAGAATGTTTTCAGAGTTTCATAGATAAAAGTTTAACCACCAGTATTTAAATAAATCCCAATTATGTACAAGCCAAATAATCATTAAACAGCTTTGTCTCTTGCTTTAATAAGTGAGATTAGAATAGTTTTTGTTTTGACTTATTTTACCATATGTGAATAATCACATATAAATTAGGGCTGGCAACTATACATTCTGTATATATAAATATACTATATTGAATACAATTACATGACAGTTGTGACATTAAAGGCAACAAGTTATTTATTGAAAAAATAGTATTTTTAAGGCTAGGGATGAGTTTCTTAAATACAAATTTCTACCACATATAGGAAAGAAAACAGAATAATCTATTTTCTGGGAAGAATCAAGCTGTGAGACAATGAGAGTACATGTGGTCTTCAGCTTTAAGCATTTAAGCTTTTAGTTTAGCTTGCTACTTCTTAAGTATTTAACAGATTTACTTATTTCTTAACAGTAACTTCCTTACACTGTTCTTTATGTTGCTTCCTTTTCTTACCTGCTAAGTGAGGGGAATATTATACCCTAAGTTCCTGCAGAACAGATATTTTTTACTGTACAGTTACAGAATCCCCACAGAAACCTATAAAATGTTCCTGCTGTATTTATGGGAACTTCCTCTAGCCCTGCTGCTTTATGACAGTTCTTTACTTTGGAAGAACTGGATTCATGTATCCCAAAACTCAACAGCTGGCAGTAAGAATCATACAACTTTTTATTACCAATAAATACAACTACAATATAATTTAAGCATAGAAACAAGTAACTAATAAACAAACTGAAAATAATCAAGTATTTAACAGCAACAAAAACCAAAGAGGAAAAATGGTTTACAGAGTTTGGCCAATAAATTGTACTTCTGGGAACTTACTGAAATGACGTAACTCAAAAGAACTAAGAAATTCTGTACAGAAAAATATTTGTATGAAGATATTCACTGGAACACTAAGTATAATATTAATAGCAAAAAACTGGAAACAAGTTCAGTGGTAGGGGAATGAAAAAATCATAGTAAATCAAAGGAATATTATACAGATATTCAAGATAATAAATATGACTATTATATGACAATATAGAAAAGGATTTATAAAATAACCAAAAGAAATTTTATATATATATATATATATATATATAT